TTCTTCCACCGGGCTCTTGAATGAGGACAGAACCCAGCGGCTACTACTAACCTACAGAAGTGTTATGTTGGTGCATGTTATCTAAGAATGTGATTGCTATATACACAGTTGGGAAGTGCCTTGCGCACTAGTTTGTTTTTTTGTTTTGTAAACTCGAAAAATTTTCTACGTCAGCTTTACTTCCAGTTCCAGTGAATTTGAACTTGAATTACAATTTGAATTCTCATTTCAGTAAATAACCCCTACAGACACAATAACCATGAGGATAAAACAGCAGTCCATAGGGTTGTATGTCAGGACACAATATTTTCTATGCAAATTTGCACTAAAAAAAATTACAAGATTCAGAGGCCCATCACCCTCCAACAGCTACAATGTGAAATCTTTGCACATCAGCCAAACGTTGATAAAATACTGCACTTCCAAATTCTAAATTAATAAATTGATCCTTGGACACATCATCTGCTTGTGTAGCCCACACAGTACAAGGTTTAACCCCTTAAGGACACATGACATGTGTGACATGTCATGATTCCCTTTTATTACAGAAGTTTGGTCCTTAAGGGGTTAAATGCCCTGTGCTTTCAGAGATGAATTTCTGATCATTCTAATCTTAAACAAATGTGTACAGTCTCGTCTAACCTTTTTCACTGACAATGTGTTTTCACCAGTAAAACTGCTGCTTACTGGGTTTGTATATGTTTACTGCACCATTCCCTACGGTTCATATTAAAAACCTCAAAACCAGCCATTTCTGAGATTTTAGGACCACCAAGAACAGCACCACCCAAATATACCATTGCCACAAAACATCCCTAGCACTCTGAGATTATAAGATATGTTAACTACAGCCCACAATTTAAAGGGGACACTATAGTCAGAAAAGGCAGCGTTTAGATTGCTGCCTATGACCAGCTCTAGTGGCTGTAACTCAGACAGCCACTAGAAGCACATTCTGGGTTTGGACGTGCAAAGAGTGCAGGAACAACATTCAGTGTCTACACTTTTGCATGGAGATGCTAAATGCTCTCGATAGAAATGCATTGATTCAATGCACCTCTATGAGGAGATGTTGATGAGCGCGCATGCACATCTTCCAATTCTTCCATATGGGGTAGCATTCCATTGGCTGAGATCATCAAGACTGGTGTTCTGAGTCAGACCAGCTCAGCAGCTTCAGTGAGAATAGTGCTCTGCGGGAAGAAAGGTAAGTAAAGCAGTTTTTTTTTTTGTTCACACAGAGGGTGGGTGTAAACACCTAAATAGTTTTAAGGACACTATTGTGTTAGGAATACGTGTTTGCATTCCCAACATTAAAGTGTTCCTTTCATTTAAAAATAAAATTAAAAAAAATAACAAAAGCGGGCAGAATATGATGAAGCCTGGACAGTCCTATTTTGTACACATTTACAGGAGAGAGATATTAGATGCATGTCTGCTATGTAGGGCAGATGAAATAGGATCAGTATTTCAATGCGTAGTGCAAGGTAGTTATATTTTCATCAACAGGAACTATACTTACATTGGTTCACATAAACTAGAGGGACTTTTATGAATAACTCAATAAATCATACTACTTAATATAATAACATATAATTGCTGGATTTTCCCTGCCTTCACTGTCTCCTCAACATCTGTTTTACCGTTTTATTCAAACATTCCACCATCTGTCTGCTTTCTAGACAGATGTCCACATGTTCTCGAAACGTAAAAAGTTGTAACAAATCTTTCATTATACGTCACCTAAACATACCCAGGTCTGTTAAATTCCATTCATCCGTGCTGCGTTCTATGCAGAATAGCTGCATTATTAAAAAACGTGTTTATTTTTGTGTGCTTAAAGCGGCTTTGTCACCGCCCTGTCACTTTTGATTATTTCACAAACTCTTTATGAAATCCTAATACTGACTGTGTTCAATCAACAGATATCTTGAGACAAAGTAGTAGCTATGGTCAAAATGTACGTTGACAAAACTTTACAAAAGGCAGAACTTTCACCATCACTTGTACTAATGAACACAGCCACCTCTTGTGACATCTACAGGAAAAAGACATCTTCTTGCAGATCATGAGAGTTGGTCTATGGAGGATCCCATGCTTTTTCCACAATCCGCCATATACATTTGAGTTGTACTCTCGCACATGCACAAGAGTATGACATTGACATGGGCTCCTTCATCCATGAGAGGCTAAAGATGTTCTCCGTAGTGAAGATGACAGCATCCATGAGGAAGAGGTTTAATTGGGTATATTTGCCTTCTCCTTCTGGCCCTGGAAACACAAGAGGGCATTTCATCATTTGAAGTCTTTGCAAAACATGCAGAGACTCCAGTCCTAAAGGTGACAGAAACACTTTAAGAAAAATATCTCAGCACCAACACAATCATATTTGTGCACGGAGAAAGATATTGATTTTCTTTTTTTTCCAGTAAGAAAGTAGGGAAGACAACATATTGTTTGTCATAGTTACAGCTCTTTAGCTGGATCCACATTATCACTATGGTTCACTGGGGTGATACTTTAACCTCTTAAGGATGGAGGCAATTGTCCGAGATGTGAACCAAAACAAAACCTAGAATTAGTTTATGGTTTAAGGGTGTCTCTGTAAGTGCCCTCATACATATTCTTCATATTATACATTGTTTGGTTAACCACAGAAAATACTTTAATTTAATGCCCCATGTGTATATGTAACACCGCAATAAGCGTGAATAAAATGTTAAAAATGGGGGAGGAACAAATTTTGTCACATTTTTGCTTACAATAATTTTTACACACCCAGTGCAACTAAATAAAAAGAGCTCAAAAGAGATTTATGTATCAGCCCTGGTTGTTAAATGACTCATATGTTTAGAATCTAGAATTTTTTTTTGGTAGTTAATGATGACCTTACTCCTAACCCTTTGCTTACACTAACTCTAGCCATATACCTACCTTAACCTTATCCTTAAATGTAAAAGGATAATATAAAGAGCAAAATAACTTTAGTTTAATGAAGCAGTTTTGGTGTATAGATCATGCCACTGCAGTTTCACTGCTCAGTTCTCTGCCATTTAGGAGTTAAATCACTTTGTTTATAGAGTCCTAGCCAAACCTCCCTGCATGTTACATATACAGCATTCCTAAGCACTTCCTGCAAAGAGAGATCTAATGTTTGCACTTCATTTATTGCAAATTCTGTAAATTCCCATCTCCTGCTCTTTTAATAACCTTCTAAAGCCTAGAGTAGCCTCCTATGTGTAACTACAATTTCTGTTGATGCCTATAGTATCCCTTTAAACCTACACTAACCCTAAAACAGCACTACGCCTAAATATATAATATTATCCCCTCTCAGGCGACGTTTTTCTAAACTAAAGAGGTTTACATTTGTTAAACTTTCTTCATAGCTGATATGTTCCATTCCATTTATTAATTTTGTAGCCCGCCTCTGCACTTTTTCTAGTGCCATAATATCCTTCTTTAGAACAGGTGCCCAAAATTGCACAGCATATTCAATATGGGGTCTTACCAGTGATTTATAAAGAGGTAAAATTATATTCTTGTCCCGAGAATGAATGCCCTTTTTCATGCATGACAATACCTTACTGGCCTTGGCCACTGCTGATTGACATTGCACATTGTTGCATAGTTTGTTGTCTATAACATGACTGCACCAAAAATAAAAGACAAACAAAAAAACACAAGTATAAGCTTGAGCTATATCATCTCAGACTAGTCAGAATTTTTCTTTTTAAATAGTTCAGAAATTATCATTTAATAGAGGAGCGATCTGGCTGTGATCATGGAAGAGCTCCACACCATCACTGATAGAATCAAGATCACAGAGTAGGATGTTGCCGCGATTAGCAAGAAACAGATTGCGGAGGCCCTGCACATTATACATATTTAACAATCATTTGGGACTTTAACAACAAGGTTTGATGCATTGGATGATGCTGACATGCACAAAAATATACAAATCAGCTGAGTAGCAGAAAATGTTTGCAAACTTTCTGCTGACCTTTTATATCAGATCCACTCTGATATGGAGACAGTCTCTATCCTCCACCATTACACTGCTGGCGGACTCAGGAATGAGGTGCTGATGGGAAGCTGCCATGAACGGGCCCCAGTATAAGTTCACAATTCTTGGGGCTACCTCCTACGTTTTCTCACTCATGGGATCACACCGTTTGTAGTCTGGCAATATTGGGTGAAATGCAGGACTTCATATATTACTTATATATAAGTATCACTCCAATAGCCATTTAAGTGTAAGCTCACTTGTTAATGCCTAGTGTTGTATTTTTATTTTTTCAAATTTATATTCTCCTATATATTTAGATGTGGTGCCTATGGGGTCTATTTATTAAATTCTTTATTTTTGTTGTGCTTCAGATTAGCAGACAGTTTGGCACTGCCCCAACAGCAGTGGCAAGATACGTAGTATATACAGTTATCAGGGGCGTTTTAGCCGCGAGGCAAACAAGGCATTTGCCTTGGGCGGCATTTTTCAGGGGGCGGCAAAAAACGCCGCCCCCCAAATGCCCAGGGCAAATGCTTTGTTAGCCTCGCGGCTAACTGACCGGCTGGGCTGGCGGGCGGCGCTGGGCAGGCGGCTGGCGAGGGAGCTCTTCCCCTGAGCGGTCCGCTCAGCTCCCTCACGCGCCGCAGAGTGAGGCTGGGAACCGGAAGATGACGTCATCTTCCGGCTCCCAGCCTCACTTTGCGGCGCGCGAGGGAGCTGAGCAGACCGCTCAGGGGAAGAGTTCCCTCGCCAGCCGCCTGCCTAGCCCAGCCAGCATCCACTGGACCACCAGGGAGGTAATGAACCCCTCCCCCCCAGCACTCCCAAAGGTAAGGGGGGGCTAAATATAAATAAATAAATGTGTTAATGTGAGTGAGTGAGTGTGTGTCTGTTAATGTGTGTGTGTTTTGTTAGTGTGTGTGTCTGACTGTGTCTGTTAGTGTGTATGTGTGTGTGTCTGACTGTGTGTCAGTGAGTGTGTGTTTGCCTGTGTGTGTGTGTCAGTGAGTGTGTGTTTGCCTGTGTGTGTGTGTGTCAGTGAGTGTGTGTTTGCCTGTGAGTGTGTGTGTCAGTGAGTGTGTGTCTGTTAATGTGTGTGTTTGTTAGTGTGTGTGTGTGTGTCTGCTAGTGAGTGTCTGTTAGTGTGTGTGTCTGACTATGTTTGTCTGTTAGTGTGTCAGTGAGTGTGTGTTTGCCTGTGAGTGTGTGTGTTAGTGAGTGTGTGTCTGTTAGTGAGTGTGAGTGTGTCTGTTAGTGTGTGTGTGTGTTTCTGTTAGCGAGTGTATGCGTATCTGTCAGTGAATGTGTGTGTGTGTATTTAGAAGGCGGGGGGGGGTTGGCACGGGGGGGGGGGCGCCTGCGTTTTGTCCTGCCTAGGGCAGCACAAAACCAGGATACACCACTGACAGTTATACAGTATAGGGCAATCTATAATACAGCACATTTTTAGTAAGGGTAAGGTTTGCGTTCAAGAGTGGTACTTACAGGCTAAGAGACATTTTAGCTAATAATCATGAGTGTAAACAGTTATCCAACAAACGTCATAAGAGACATTGAACTTTTTATGGTACAGAACATGCTAGGCACTTAGGAAATATCTGACGGCAGAGCAGTGCTAACGGGTAGGCGTATAGTTAATGGTACAGTAATATGGTGAAAAGTCAGTAGTTAGCTATGACTAAAGAAATCACTATAATAGGGAGGCTGATTACAGGCCAGAATGAGTGTGAGTCAGAGTATATAGATGCATGCTTTAGGCACTGTGGCTATGTAAAATCCCTCCCCTAGGTCCCCCAGGTAAGCTTAGGAATGAGTTAAAGCGGCACTGTCATGCCGAACTTACCTTTCCTCAATCTCTTCCTCTTCTCCCCCTCTCTCAGAATCTGTTATTCTTTTCTTCCTGTCTTCTTTAGTTTTCTTTAAAATCATAAGACAAAGTAGGGACTCTTTGCCTTATGGAGGATTCCTCCGCTTGACCAGCTCTGAC